AAAAATTGTTTATCCTGAAATAATAATAAAATATCATTTATGTTTATCATACTTTGTTTAAAAGAGCAAGGAATCATGCAGTACATTTTTAAACTATTAAAATATAATTGTAAATGTAAATGTGTTTCTATGCTGTTAAAACCCTTGCAGCATACAGAACAGGTCTCAGGAATTTGGACAATTCACCTAGAAATTAAATTAAAATAATTACATCACAAAATGAAGTATGGAAATAAGATGCTTTTATAACAGAATAATTCTGTGATTCCTCTCCCCTACTCAGAAGGTTGAAATATATTCTTCTATAGAATACAAACTTTTTTTACTAATATTTACAAAGCAGCTTCTATAGAATACAAACTTTTCTTACTAATATTTACAAAGCAGCTTCTAATGTACTTCTCAAATCATACTCTTTACTCTTGATTAATCAACAATACTTTAAAAAATAAAAGACTTGAATTTCATTTCAAGACCTCTTACTATACAGTATTTGCTTAATCTCAAATGATTTTAACAAAAGATATAAAAGGGAGAGAGAGAATTATCCAAAGAAAGATTATAAAGTGAAGTTCAAAGCAGTTTTTAAAAAGATGTCTTTAAAAAGGAACATCACACAAAACACAAAAAACAGTTCAATGTGATAATATTTTTTTTAAAAAGTTTTCATATGTAGACTATGTGAAATCCACATATAGTCTTAGTGACTTAACCAACTATGAACGCATATATAAACATGAATCACATCTGCCTTCTGAACATAAATTGCCTCCTTATGATCAATAGATACAAGAAAAAGATAATAAATCCTACAATGCAATTTTATTCTATTTTTCCATATTAGGAACATCTTTTCCGTATTTAAATATGATACTGCATCAATATTCAAAAAGGAAAAATAGTTATAAACCCATATAATGTTCCTGTGACCAATTTCTTTATTTTGAAAAGTTCATGAAAGCAAAGAAGTGCCCTAAAATGTATGAATGAATGAATAAGGTTTTAAAAGTAATCATCAAAGCCCAGACAAAGCAGGAAAGGCAGAAGTTAGAAATGTACAAAGTAAAGTCATATTTTCTCTGTTCCTTTTTCTTTTTAATTACTGCTCTCAATGCAATATATTCAAAATTTTAAAATACCACAAAATATTCCATATGACAGGCACCTCAAACTTATAGTATGCTTTAACTCTTCAGCACCTAAACTCATACCACTTTACCTTACTCTTCATTTATTTTCAAAAGGAATTCATGTAATCTAGCAAACAAACATTTTTCTCTATTAATATTACCCATTTCCTCCACCTACACAGAAACTGAGAAGCAAGACTTTTATAAGAGAGGAAAAGTAAATATCAAAGCTTTTGTTGTTTGTAATACTTGCCAAAGAAATCATTTTTTTGTTTTCTTCCTGAAAGAGGAGCAAAGAAAGATTATTGCATCAGTTAGATGCCATTTCCCAAGCTCTGAAGGCTTTTACCAACAAGGACAAACAAATCAGACTGGCTTTGCCATTTCTACAAATAGAATGGTATTACACTTACCATTGTTCAGATAAAGAACATTAGGCCATAAGGAAGTTGTGACTTCATGTCTCACAATAAAACAGTGGTGAACCTTTGTTACTTGCTATAAAATAGTCTGTTAACAACTTCCATGAAATGAAAATTTCTCACACACTGCACACACAAATAAAGGTGTGCCTGGTTTTAATAGAAGGCACAATCCTGAAATTTATATGTCTACCCAACTATATTTTAAATCTACCAGGAAAGTTTGCTATTAAAAGGAACTCACCAAAAATATCATCTGAATAAAAATTATGTTTATAATTTTAGGTGTTTAAAACGTACTTTTTATGAAGAAAGACAAATTTAATTTTTCAGGCATTTCAAAGAAAAAATACCATGAGCCTACTATCAGGCAGACTGTCAGGAAAGATGATTTTTAAAACAAAGACATATATATATATGCAGTATATAGTTAAGTGATCATAGGGCGGATGGTTAGAGATGCTAAGATAAGAAATTAGAAGCTGGATTAGATGATTACTAAAAGTCCTGTCAAATCTGCTTTTATATTGTAAGGCATTTTTGAACAATGATTATGGATACACACTGACTGGTTTATTGGAAGAAATATTCACAATGCCTATACTTGACAAGACTTCTATCTAGAATATACAAAGATTCCTACCACACTTATATTTGACAAAGGACTTGTAAACATATAAGGAACTCCTATAAATCAACAACAAAATGATAAACAAAAGATATATACAAAAAATTCAAAATAGATATACAAATGACCAATAAACACATGAAACAGAGCTCTAAAACGTTAAACATGGGGAAATAAAATACCAAACATCCATTGGTGCTTAAATGAGAAAGACTAACTGCCAAATGCTATAAAAAATGGGAAGCACTCTCATTCGCTGCTGGTGAAAATATAAGGATCTGATTGAGTTTCCTTTTTCTTCTTTTTTTTAAACATTCTATTTTTTAATATTTTATTTTTTTTACATGATGTGGAGCATGAAACCCACTGCCTCACATGTTCTACACAAGCACTCTACCAAAGAGCCACAACCCTAGCCCCTGAGTTTCTTATAAACCTAAACTACATTTATCATACCATCCAACAATTCTAACAGAACATACGCCCACAAAAAGATCGGCAAGAATGCCTAAAATTTTACTCATAATAGTCATAAAACTGTTAATAATCCAACTATCCAACAATATTAGAATGGATGTAGTATGTTCCTGCCATCGACTACTACTCAGCATTGAAATGAACAAACTACTGATACTTAGAAAAATATGAATCTCACAAAGATTATACTGAGCAAGAAGCCAAGTGATTCCAATTACATGACATAATAGAATCAGCAAAACTAATTTATGGTGAGAGAAATCAGCGCAGTGGTTGCTTCTGGAGAAGGCAGGGATTGAAAAGAAATAAGAAGGAAGTCTTCAGGGTGATGATAATGTTCTAAATCTTGATAGGGTTGGGGGTTACATGGCATATATTTTCATCAGTACTCTCAAATTATACACTCAGACATTGTGTACTGTACTCCATATAAATTTTACTTCAATTTTAAGAAGCACTCTTCAATAAAATAAGAATTACAAATGTTATAGTCCTAGTAAACTTGCTTTACAAAGTAATGTCATTTGGCTATTTGAAGCTACTCTCTGAGTATAGTAGGCCTCTAAAAATCAGTGTATGAGTCTGTTAACAAAGGAAAATACAAATATAGAAAAGGAAAAAGAATTATAAATATGGTTGGGTAAAACTACTTTATTGTGATAAATTAAAACCAGAAGTATCAGTATAAACTTGACATTTTTAATAGGTATTAAAATATATATATATGTCATATATATATGTAGGCATATTTGTGTATATGTATATGTACATGTACACATTTACACACAATAATTCTTAGTTCTGCTTCAAAAAGAGCCTATCAGCAAAAAACAAACCATAGCAATGAGCATATTCAGGAGACAAATTTTGGTTTCTAAATACTACCGTTATTCAATAAAAGGAACTAGAACTTCTTAGAGAAATGGTTCATGATGAGGTTAGAGCAGAGAAACCACAAGATGAATCTGGAAGTATTTTTTGCAACCAGAAAGTAAGGAAATGCTCAAAGAATCATGAGAACATGAAAAGAGGAACCAGCTTTAAGGAGCAACCAGTGGCCAAATCTGAGACAATCAAAATAAATAATGATCATAATGCATTTGACACATAACACATTAAATAAGAACTCATAAGTCCATACAGATATAAATCAATAAATTAGGGAAAAGGAAAAGTTTGTACTTATATTCAAATGTCAATTATTAAATATGCAAGGAAGGACAGAAAATTATCAATACATGCTAAATGTGGGTAGAAGTTTGGAGCTGGGGTTGTGGCTCGGTGATAGAGCACTCCTTAGCATGGGAGAGGCACTGGGTTGATCCTCAGCACCACATAAAAAGATAAATAAATAAAGGTATGTGTATATCTACAATTAAAAAATATTTTTTAAAAGTTTGATAAAGAACATATTTACATAATCTCAAAGTTTATTTGAAAATAGTGTTTAATTACAAAGTGAAAATAAGAAGCTTTTAGTGGATAAACTCATCAGATATCACCCTAAGGAAGTGATTAAAGCTACTTAGAACTAGTTGCATTATGATTAGATCCTGCGCCCCAACTTGATACACTGAGAGCACACCACTTCTGTATTTGTAATAAAAGTGCATACCAAAACCTAATTATAGAGAAAAACAGACCCAAATTGAGAACATTCTAAAATAGCCTGCATTCCTCAAAAATAACTTAAAGAAAGTCCAAGGAATACTCCAGGTGAAAAGACTGGTGATATAACAAATTATTTAATTATGATACTAGATACTACACCAAGAAAAAGAAAAACTACAAAAACAGTGAAATGTTAGTAATAATTTTTACTCTTCTTACAAATAAGATATTCCCTTAAAAAGTTTAAGAACTTAGCAGAAGTCATATAATTAGGATATAGTTAAGCCAGCATTAGAAGCCAGTTCTGCCCCTCTAGAGGATATGCTTGCTGCTTCCCTAGATAGCCATATAGAAAAGCTACAGTCTTAATAAAAAATTTCATATGCAACAAATTCAATTAAAAGTAGGCATTTACTCATATTCTTTAATAGAATAATCATATGTATATATGTAGACCCCTAACTGTATCCAAGTTGAACACCTCAAGTTACAGGGTGGAAAAGAGACAAAATGAATGTAACAAAATCTGTCATTCATTTATACTCTATGGCACTTATTTTAAAAGTATTATTACAATATACATGAAAGTAAACTTTAATTGTACATGATAAGTGAAAATCACAATACAAATTATGGTAAATAGCAAAGAAAGGAACCATAATAACAAACATAAATATATTGTGAGCACAGCTGCTGAATTCAAACATCCATACTTACTAAAGGTACACATACCTTTTCCTAAATGTGTGTTTATGCTCATATATCTAGCTGTTCCTGTAAGGCTCTTGTGTTCTCTGTAGGGTATATGTTTCTTTGTCTCTGGATCAATGTATTCCTTTGCCAAACCAAAATCTATTATATGAATAACTTGCTGGGTTTTGTTTCCTGGTCGTCCTATTAAGAAGTTCTCAGGTTTTACATCTCTGTATATCAAGTTCTTTGAATGAACATATTCCATTCGAGAAATCTGGGTTAAAGAAATAAAGAAGAGGAATTTTATTTTAGGTTTTGATTAACATAAGAAAAAATGATAGAGATAGAGGCAAGACAGAATAATCACAATGAAAACAAAAAAAATAAATTATTTCAACACTTTAAAAGCAAGATATGTCTATAATTACTCAAATGTACATATATATAACCAATTATGATTTTAAATGTTTGCCCTTACTATTATGGTCACTGATGAATGAAAGTGTTCAAATTTTATGAATTCTTTTCATATCAGCAAGTTTAACTCAATCAACATTAACAGAGGATACTGTCTCATAAAATCAAAAAGCTTTACTGATTAAAAAAAAAAAAAAAAAAAACTTGAACTAAGTATTAACAGACATACCCCTAAGGCTGCACTATTCTTCCTCAGTTCAATAAGAGGGCAACTTTTGTTTTTCTCCTGGTACTGAAGAACACACCCAGGGTCACTCTCCCACTGAGCTACTCCCCCAGCCATTTTTATTTTTTGAGACAGGGTCTTCTAAATTTTCCCAGGCTGACCCTGAACTTTCAATCCTCCCACCTCAACCTCCCAAGCATCTGGAATTATAGGCATGAGCCACTGCATCTGGCTATAATAATCAAGCAATTTTTATAATTATACTAAAGAAATGCAAGTGTTTAAATTGTTCAATAAAAACAACAATAAAGTCAAGCAACATTTAGTATTTCTTTTATATAACATTTATATAATGTTTTTGTTTTCCTAGGTATTAAACACTTAAAAATAAAATCTTGAAACTAGAAAATTTTGGAATCCAAATCTAATAATATATTACATTTATATTAACTGTTTTATAGGCCCTCAAATAATATTTAATATACAAACTATCACAAAATAAAACACTACAAATAAGAAAATTTAAAAACCTTTCATTTAATAAGGATCATGGTTAACAATGCAATGCAAATATACAGTCACACAGCCCATTCTAGTTTGTTTATTACTTTGGATTGTATAAGACATAATATTCCAAGATCCAAGCTTTTCATTAACAATACATATGAGCATATTCCAGGTCATAAACATTCTGTTAGTACATGCTTTAACTGCATATTATTTTATGGCTATTAACAATTTACCCAACTTATCTTGTTAATTTTGCACATTTGTGTTGTTCCCATTTTTTAGTACCAATCTTTGCACATCAAACTTTAAATACATCTGAACACTTCCATATGATAAATTTGTAGAAGTAGAACTAATAAGTCAAACAGAAAACAATTTTAAGACTATTACAGCATACTAATATTGGCATTTATTTCAAAACTGTCTCAATATCATCCTCTGAATTGTTTTCCCATACATTCCCTGAAATTTAAATAATCAGTAAGACACTTAATAGTTTATTTCTTATTAATTCATTAAAATTTATTACCCAAAATCCATTTTTCTGAGGGTACTAATTCAGTATTCACCTTAAACAAGAAAAAGTACCACAAACAACTAACAAAGTAAGCATTCTGTTCTTAAAGATACCAATTTTCATACAAATAAATGCACTTGACAGTTATTTTAAGTTATAGCCATTCTAGAAAGGCCATATGAAAGTAGAAACATTTGTGTTAGGTGAATCAAATGCTCTCAAAATAATGTCACAAAACTTTAATATAAATTTTCATTTAAAATTTGTAACTAACAAAACACATAACTTTTCAAACAACTCCAAAACACCCTGCTTTACTTACCAGTTGTATAGCTATCATGAGAACTGTTTTAAGAGAAAAAGTTCTGTCACACAAGTCAAACAAGTCTTCCAAACTAGGTCCCAGCAGTTCCAGCACCATAGCATTGTATTTACCACAAGGGCCAAAATAGTAAACTTGAGGTATACCATCTACAGGAAAAGAAAAGTCATTTAAGAATTTCATCATCTTAACTATTAAGCCTTTCTTCCTAGGAAATCAATAAACAATTTTTTTAATTTTATACTTTCAAGAACTATAGCAGTATCTTTATTTTTTCCAGATATTCAGTAAACTTTTCCTGATTGAACTTCTACACCCTTCCTATACCTTCTCTTTCAGTGTTCACATTGAAAATTACTGAATGACATTATAAATAATACTTTATTGTCTGTCTCTCCACCATCTCATACATTAGGTTTTCCTAGTTTTATATTTCCATGGCCTAGAGAATGCTCAGAACATAGGAAAAAATCCATTTTTATTGAACAAGAGAGTCACTACTATCTTTAATAACCCTGTGACAGACAGACTGCTAAAATGACCCACCAGATTCCCAACATCTGGTGTACAAGTACTCTTCCTTTGAATGTGGCATGATTTCTAGGATTTCACTCTAATATTCTAGCTAGGTTAAGTTTGCTTATTTCTATACATAGACACACACACACAATCACACACACACACACACACACACACACAACATGAATAAAATTAATGTCCCTATCAGTTGACATCAAAAGGCAGAGTATCTTGATAAGTCTGGCCTAATCAGGTTAATCCTTTAAAAAGCTCTAGAATCATAGATATTAAAAGGAACAGAGAGAGGCTCTCCTGATGGCCTTAAGAAAGTAAACCACTCCTGTTGGCCTTAAAAAAGCAAACCATATTGTTGTGGAAAGAGTCATATGCCAGGGAAAAGCCTCTAGCAACTGAGGGCCTTGATCCTATAGCAATGAGAAGCCGAATTCTAGCAAAAACCATCAAGCTTCTTAGAATGTTGTTTGAAAAAAAAATTACACAACATATTTCACATTTCTACACCTTCATCTTTACTTCTAAGTAAATCTGTATAAGTTTTGATGAGGGGTAAATGAACCTATTTCTTTTACACATATCAAGGACATACTTGTGGCTGAAGTGAATTGATAATGTTGTTGTACAAAGGATAGTTGTCACCAACTCATTTCTTTATGGTCCATAATGAAATAAACATTTTTGTATATGATTAATTCTGTAAAAAGATGCATGTTCAAAAGATCTATGATATAGAGATATCTAAGATATCTTGTAATCTTAATCTAATATACTTTAGATATTTTAATTTTTTTTCCTTAGGGAAAACATTTAGAATAGTGCAGAAAAATCCTTCATGATATTTTCATGAAAGGTTACATAACTTTTCAAACCTAAACATAAAATTTGTTATAGAAAATTCTTTAAACCAAACATTTTAATCTAGGACTTCAATTTGATTTGTTCCTTCAATCTAGTTTTTTGTGGCCCTTAGAAACATACAAAAAAAATCCACTGCTAATATAGCAATAAAAATATTTTGGGTTAAATAAAAAATCAAACAACAGGCTTAGAACTGAGTTCCATATCAGATCATAGGCCACGCTCTCACCTTAAACTGACAATCCAGCTAGGCCATGCCTGGACTCCTGGCCCATGAAAATTGTGATATAAAAAAGTCCCTTGTTTTAAGATACTGAGTTAGTAATAATTCATTGTGCAGCCATACAAAATAACACACACTCCAAACATAAAGCCTAAATGCCCAGAATTCACCTGTATTTTAAGAGCAGATTTCCAATAATCTAACATATAACAAGTAATCAATTTACCTTAACAATTCATTTATCTATTTATTTATCACAAGAAAAATGAAGTTCCTCTACCACAAATGTCTGAAAAAATTTCAAATAATTTTTTCCCAGTAACTTTAAAAGGGAAAAAAATCTTTCTAAAATATAATTTCTAAAACTTCCCTTTCTTTTTAATAAGAAATTTGGGAAACATGAATAAATTCTTGTTGATGACCCTATCATTTTGAATATAAATTACTGCAGCACCAGAATAGAACACACCAAAATAGAAACCAGGACAACTAGGTTCTAAGTCTAGCCTGATGTTCTCCAATTCAGCTGTGTGCCTGGCTTGCCACTCAACCTCTCAAGTTGGCCTGTAGTGGTAGTCTGGATAAGACTACTATATTTCAATGTGAACATGATTTAGGCAGCACAACATCTGGGGGCTAGAAAGAGAGACAATACTGCACAGCAGGGATAGAGGAAACAAGTTCAAGCTATACACATAATCCCCTCTTCAGAAACTGAAACACTGATATGTTCCCATGTGTATTTGTCAATACCTCTGCAAACACACAAACACATTTACACACATACACATACACATGCACACACACAAATCCCATACTTTGTCCCATTTTCCCTTAGCACCTGGAACCACAATCTTAGTATAAGTCACTCCTACAATAGCCAGTCTCATCATATGTGTCAAATCCACCCCTCAAGTGTGAAAATGTACAGAAAAGTTTCAGAAACAGTGAGAGGCTCACTAAAGTTTATTCCAATTCTGATAGCTTATTTTTACTATGTATATACATTAAGAGCTGAAACTCATAATTAAAACTTATAAACAGCACTCAACTACTAGAACTTTTCAACAGCTCTTGGCTATCAAGCCTTTAAAATTCTTTCCACAATGCTTTTTCTCCCCCTCCATGCCACTGGAAGTATTCAGTTTTTATGCTATCAATTTAACAACCTCTAATAACTCATTTCCACTCTTTAGTTTGTTGCTTCTGATCTGCAGGTACAAGGAAACCAGATTATCAAAGCTTGCTACAATTATATGTAGAATTTAAAATTAACAGGTTTTGAAGTTCTTCCATGAAAGGACTGTCATAGGGATTCGCTAATTCCTTCTAAGTCACCATTTATTTCCTAAAAAAGTGACTGAAAAATGATCTCTGAATAAGGTAACTATAGATAAATATAATAAACTTTTTTAAATGACTGAATTTTTTTCAAATGTTTTTAAAGATTCCAAAAAAATGGAAAACCACTTAGAGATTTCACTATTTTAATTCAATGGTGCTTTAAATAAAAAGTACAGGGGGCCACTATTTGGAGGTCAGACTCCTGCGACAGACCCCAAATGAATTTACTAAAAGTCAAAATGGAGTCACCCGTGCTAAAGTTCAACATCACTAAAGGAAATCAAGCTATTTATCTGAACTTTTAAAAAAACAGGAAAAATGAGAGAGAACAACCAAATGTCTCAAAGGCTAGTTTCAATCATCATGATAATGATAATGAAGTTCCCTCTGCTTTAATCCTTAAAAAAAAAAAAAGCAGCAGCATAAAGTAACCTCAGGGTTTTTGTTTTGCTATTCTAGGGATTGAACACAGGGCTTGGCATGTTAACAGGCAAGCACTCTACCACTAAGCAACATCCCCAGACCTTTTTAAAATTTTATTTTGAGACAGGGTCTCCCCAAATGGTCCATGTTTGGCATCAAATTCACGATCCTCCTTCCACAGCTTCCAACCTGCAGAGTAGCTAGGATTACAGGTGTATGCTACTGCACCTGGCTCAGTAATCTGGTGTTAACCAGTTATGTTTCTATTGTTCTGTCTCTCTGTCCCCAAAGCCCTACCAAAAATAAATAAATAAATAACTTTGAAATGATCAATCTACTTTTTGTCCTTTGTTTCTGCTTTTTTTCAGCCTTTCTCTTCTATAAAACCCAACTCTTCTGCTCAGCTCTTCAGAACACTTTATTCTGTTTTAAGGAAATTATTACAGGACTCTGGAATCAAAAATAAAGCCAATTAAGATCATTACACTATCCTGCTGTGTATCCTGTGTCCCCTGACAAGTGCAATAAAACAAATAGAAAGTATGCTTGAGAATGAACAAAGAGGGTTGGGGATGTAGCTTAGAGGTAGAGCACTTGCCTAATAAATGCAAAGCCCTGGTTTCACTCTCCAGGACCTAAAAGAAAAAAATAAAGAGAGGATGGACAAAGAGACCCTATTACTTCAAGGAAGATGTCAACAAAATTATTTGTTACCAATAATAGCTAATAATATTCAAGCTTTCAAGCAATAATTAGAGTTGTGCAAAATTTTTATCTGCCAAAGTAGCTTTGACAGCTTCCCAACTTACAAACTTGTTCTGATGAAACTGTAATGATATTAACTATTTTGATTTGAGTAATAAAACATCAATATTTGAAATATATGCATAACTCAGTGAACCAGTATCTTCCAAAAGACAATGCACATAAGTTACATTCATAGATAAGTGGTCCAAAGTACAATGGATTTTAATATAAGTAGAAAAAATTTTTTGATAAGGCTTCTCACTCTACATTATAACTCACTTGTAAGAAACTCCCATTTTCAAGTTTTAGTATAGTACCAAACAGTATACATAATTTAAAGACTTATTAATCAAGGTTGACAAATCATGGGTTGAAGTGCTGGTGAGAATATGAATTAGGTTTGAAGGGAAATTTTCCTGTGCTTTTCAAAATAAGCAAGAGTATGCACACAATGATTTTCAAGCTGTATTGTTCCTTGGAGTTGAAAAAAAGAACTGGCAATTACCTAAATATCCACCAATGCTAGACTAATTATATAAATGAATTATGCCAAACCTATCCTGTGGAATACAATTTTAACTGTCTTCAGAGATAACTGTGAAGAACAAACTGCTGCTATTTACATCTTATAATACTACTGATTAAATGTGTTATTCAAAATACAATCAGGTATTACTTTTTAAATAAGATATTTTAATGTTATGTGTGTGTGTAAGTATGTGTATAAATTCACCAAGCCTCAGCAATTTAGTGAGGCTTTCAGTAACAGTGAGACCCTCCCTGTCTTCAAAAAAATGAAAAGAACTAGGGATGCAGCTCAACGGTAAAGTACCCCTGGGTTAAATCCCCAATATAAATAAATAAATAATAAGATAAAATTTAAAAAATCTGAGACCCAAATTTTTGAGAACTGTTGTCCTAGCTGTAAGTGCAGATATGAACAAATAGGTACAGTGAGTTATAGACTTGGCAAGAATCCTTTTGTTAAAATAATATAATACCTACATGTAGTTATAA